CATTGGCAACACCCTAGCAACTGCCCATCATCTGCTTAAGCTGCGCAATCACTGCATTTTCTTCAGGAAATGCACTTTTCTAGTTGTTACATTCGCTCTGCACATAGAGAAACACTATTTAGTCTCAGCAGAATTGATCACGTTTCTGTTCTGATCAAAATGAATCACGTCTTAATGATTTCATCTGAGAACAAAGAGAAACGAGAAGAAAGCTGTTCTAGTCTGTCTCAGTGTCGAGACAATGTTGTGCTCACTTTGAGGTTGTTAGGGGGTTGCAAAGCAGTTGCTAGGTGTTGAAAATGAATGGGAGTCTATGGGAGGAACTGGGAATGGGATGAGTGATTGCGCAGCTTAAGCAGTTTCCAAATGGTTGCCATGGTGTTGCACTGTGGATCATATGGTATTTTAGTTGGTTGCTAGGCAGTTTTACATTATTCCAGGTGGCTGCTAGGACATTTCTAGGTGGTTGTCATTGTATCCCAGGTGGTTGCTAGGGTTCAGCTCATTTGCATAAACAAGGAACAAACAAGCTGACTGAGCAGGTGGGCAAAGTTTGCTACCCTTTTATTTTTAAATTAATTTCAAGTCAACAAACTGATTTTAATTTGGGTAAACGTTAACCTTAAAGACAAAGTTAAAGAAGTTAATGTTTTTAAGGGATCTGACTGGTCATTGAACTTATTTACTTTTCTAAAAAAACCTGCATTCTTGCATCAAATACTTGTTCAAAACTAAGTAAACTTGCTCAGTAAAGTACATTTATCATTTACAGAGTATAAAGATCAGATAAACACTAAAACAGACGGAAGGCTGTATGAAACCTCTCCCAGCTGAAGGATGAAGGATTAGCTCAGTGCGGTGAAGCCGAATCTGAGGCGACATTAAGCTTCAGAAATATTCCAGACATTCTCCATCACTGATACACGTGGGAGAAAAGTATAGCTACACAATATCTGAGCCTTTAGAAAGACACAGGGTTAATGGAGCACGCTGACCGCACATTTATTATCTATTTATTTTAATCAATATTAAAGCTGTACTGTTTAAAAAACACCATTATTTGATTTGATACATTACAGCTGTGTCCTGATTAAAGCCTTTATCAATACAGCAAAAACAAGGAGTTCCTGATGTTAATATTTGTCTATAATGTGTCCATTTTCAGTTTAGCGTATTCAACGTTATAAACATTATATTACTATGGGCTAACATGTAATAAGCTACGCCTAATATCTCATAATTAGCTCCAATCAAACATGCTAAGCACAAACTAAAATGTCAGCCCGCAAACGAACAGGCTAAACATCAAAGTCAGAAAGTTAGATAAGTGCGGCCCCATTTTAGCCTGAAACTGCATTCCCAAACTAAAGGGGGCGCTGATATCACATACTCTGGGCTACAGTCGTGATCTTGGCCTCACTTGAAAGGAAACACTCTCAACCGTCAGAACAAACCAATTTCAAGTGAGATAAATTGATTAAAGTCAATTAAAGTCAGGTTATACTAAAGCCAGATTAAGTTAGATTAAAGTCAGTTTAAATCAGGTTAAAGTTAGATTCACGTCAGTTTAAGTCAGGTTAAAGTTAGATTCACGTCAGTTTAAGTCAGGTTAAAGTTAGATTAAGTGAAGTTTAAGTCAGGTTAAAGTTAGATTAAGTCCGTTTAAGTCAGGTTAAAGTCATCTTAAAGTAAGATTAAGTCCGTTTAAGTCAGGTTAATATAAGATTAAGTCCGTTTAAGTCAGGCTAAAGTTAGATTAAGTCAGTTTAAGTCAGGTTAAAGTTAGATTAAGTCCGTTTAAGTCAGGCTAAAGTTAGATTAAGTCTGTTTAAGTCAGGTTAAGTGAGGTTCAGGTTAAAGTGATGTCTGAGAGCTCACCGTGGAGGTGTTGGTCCTGGTGGGCGGAGCCGGCGTCTCCGTGTCGTTTTCCTCATTCTGCTGCGTGTTGAGGTGCATGAGGAGCGACCGCAGCTGCGGCACCGAGATGGTGCCGTTATCGCCATAGCGACTCAGCAGCTGCTGTAGGACCAGGGCAGGGGAGAGCTCGCCTTGACCTCTGACCTCTCCCAAAGGCCACTGCAGCAGGCCCAGTGTCAGCGTGAGGGCGAAGGTCAAGGTCAGCTGAGTGTAGCCATTGGCCGACCTCTGGATCATGACTCTCCACAGGAATCACCTGGGGAGAGAGGGCAGAGTATGAATGGGCGGGGCTAGGCTGCTGTAGGATACATGGGCGGGGCTAAAGTGCTGTAGGCAGAAAGGGCAGTGCTAAAGTGGTGTAGGTTGAGGGGGCGGGGCTTTGTTCTATGCATGGACTGTATGGGTGGAGAGTGAACAACATTTACATACAACAGCAAATTCTTATTAATAAAAATGCTTGTTTATTACAGACTCACTGTCTTGTGTAATAAAGTTAAGAATATTTGCTGTTTATTACCTTTAAAAGTCAAAATATGATATTATGTATCACAATATTCTCATTATTTCAGAGCTTTGAGGAGTT